AAAAAAAATAGAATTTTTTCACGATTTCGTTATTTTAAATAAGTACCTACCACGTTTTCTAGTACAAATATGAATTTTTTTTTTTAATAAGCATTTTGAAGCAAAAAAAATTACGGCACTTCAAATTATGTACTACCGAACTACGCTCGGAATCGTCTTTCATCAGCAATGGTTAATTGTTGCTTACAAATATAAATGAAATAACTTATGTATCCTACCTTCCCAACTTCTCACCTACAACAGTAGCTGCACCCATTCCCAGTATCAGCTCTTTTTTTATAGTGTTTCGCCTAAAAACGATTGTATAAAGACCTGAAATTATAACAGAATACTAATATTAGCCTTTTCGAGACATGGTAAAATTTTGAAAACATTCTTAGTTATTTATCTTTATATTTTCGAATATTTTGAGTTTTTATTTGGTTTTGTGTGGATAAGATTGTTTTATAATTTTACTCATAGTTCATCTTAAATTGTTCTTAGTGGTAAAAAATAAAAGTTGACCGTAGTATAGTGTTTTTTTTTTTTTTATACACTTTTAAAAATCAAATGTTGACAATTTTGAAAATCGGAATTTTGGCAATTCAAAAAATATTTAACCGAATTACACTAAAAATCGAATTTCGTCCGCAATTATTATTGATTTATCGTTGGGTACGAATATAAATAACTTTACGTATCTTACTTCTCAGTTTCCCCCCTATGTGGCACATCTGTCAGCAAAATCAGCTCTTTTTTTTAATTTATAGCGTTATTTTATATAATAATTAACCTTCGTATATGCTCGTAAATAAAACATTTAAACCAGATATAATTAAATCACAGTATTAGTGTGCACAAGTTTTAAATATATACGATTCTACCTTGCCAAATTTAAAAATATTATTTATTCAAAGTTATTTATACTTTCAACTATGTATATATCCAATATTACGAGTATATCTATTGCCATTTATGATATAAGCTTTTTGATATTATTAATTTGTACGCATTTATTTATTTAAACATTTTTTTGTGGTTGTTAGTTTATTTTGAGAAAAAAAAAGTAATATTTACTAATATAATATATTATAGGATCTTTATAACTGTGTTGACGAAATGTCCTCATTTTATCGACTAGGTATATTTAATAATCAAGTAAATATTAAATTTGCATTATATACCGAGCGGGCTGATGATTGATGAGTGATGAGCGCCTAAAACCCTTTAACATCGTTCTATGTATTATATTTTGTTTTATACAATTGTTACTATAATAATAACATATTACTTTTAATAGATATATTGGTTAGGTATATATGGTATGTATGGTAGGTATCATATGTTATTTATAAACACTTGTATATATTCCATGGTGATGATAATGATATACACGGTGGCATATTTAGGATTTTGTCAAGTAGGGAGAGATATTGAATTTTGTATAATATGTACCTAGATTTAAACCAAAAAAAAAGATCAAATTTTAAATCTAAATATTTTCTGAAGGCAATTTATGATTCGATTAATCAATAATCATTGAAATATTATAGTAATTATTATTATTAATTAGTTTATTTATACTATTCTTAGAATAAAGAGCAGAAGAATCTCCTTTATATGAAAGAGATTGGGACAAATATCATTTTTAACAAGGAAACGTACCTGCTGTTATTCAAGTTTTTATTTTTGATTTATTTAGACGGTGCCAACAAATTTTTGACTAAAAAGTAAAGAAATTCGAATTTAAAAAATAAGTATACATATATATAATAGCTACTGAAAAATATATCGAAAGGGAAGATTTATCTCCCTAATCCCCCCCCCCTATAAATACTCCACTGAATGTATATTATTAATGATGTCATACCTATATAGTTCTGTGGGTTGAATTTTAAACAAATTATAAATTACTAGTGGTCAATTAAGTTAAAATAATGTACAATATTAAACAAAATATAGAATAAACTTGAGACTTGTTATTACAGTAGTATAATAATATAATTGTTGCCCGGTAGTTTATCTTTTAAAAAGGGTACCCCTTGTCTACGACAACCAAGTTAAATAATAAAACTGTTTATTTCATCCACTACTCTAAGGTAAACTCATAAATCAATAAAAAGTTACATTTTTGTTTCAAAAACACCAAAAACTTTAGGTCAGCCACTCTTTAGGAGATTAATTTCGAAATAAAAAGTAGACAGCAATCTTTCTCTTGTTTTGAATGTCAAGTGTACAAAGTTTCATCAAGATCGAAATAAAATTGTAGATATTTATATAAAGACAATATCTATTGAACTTTATTCTATGTTTATAGAATATATAAAATAGACATGAAGTATATTACATTAAATGGAAGATACGTGTATCAACTATCTCAAACAAATTTAAAAAAAATGATATACACAATGAAACAATTAAGTGATATATTACTTTTCAAAGACATAAGAATTGTCTATATAACATCAATTAAATCATTTATTACGTTAAGTATAATTGATTGAGGTGAAGCTTACGAGAATTCTGTTATCCAGCTACAAAAATGCCAAAATACAATAATCAGAGTTGCAAATAAAAAAGATAGGAGATACCCAACCAAAAAACTATTTGACGAATTTAATGTCCTTAATATAAATTAATTATATAAAAAAGAAAGCTATATACCTCAAAAGCAATAACCTTTTATCTCCAATACAACATGAAGTCAACACGAGATATGCAGTTAATAATAACTCATTAAACTGGCCAAAAACAACAGGAACTTTGAGTTCTTAGGAACCCCAATATCAATTTAATGCCTAGGGAAGTAGACAATATGCCTTTACCCATATTCAAAAAATATATATCTCACTGGATCCAATAAGAATATGAAAAGAAAAATTAATATGTATGTTAAATACCATGTCTAATATGGTACTTGTGTAATTTAGTTATTGATTTATAATTAATATGTGATTTCTAACTTAAAACATTTGTAAACTAAGATAACTCCTGGGCCTCCACACGAGTTTTTCTCAGTGAGGCCCAGTAATTTATTGGTTCCAAATAAAAATAAAACCTAAAATAAAAATATTATATATATATTAAGTCCGAGAAGTTGGCCAACCCACTTCATCAGAAATCTATAAAACTGGTATCAATATTTAGAAGTACCTAATCGGCATTAGAATTTGCAAATTTGTTTTGATTATGATTTATTTTTAAATCATTTAATTTAAATTTTACTTTATTTATTTTTTTCGATTATTATGTATTTATACGTAATATATTTTATATTAAACATACTGACCTTATCAAAATAAATAAATACATGTATTATAATATAAAAATTAATAAGCTAATAAGTCCCAAAGGACTACAAAACCGCTACGCCACTTTACTTTTAATAATTCGTACTGGATGAAGAGCAGACTTTTTAATGTTTTTTTTACAATTACTCTGTAATTCTGAGGAACCGCACGACGCCAATTTCGACCCTCTGGATTCAAGCAGTAGACTAAGTAAAGTTAGTTCACCTGCTTTTATTTGATTGTCAACGCGAAAATAATGACTTGCAAGTTACAAAATCAAACTTATAAATTTTACTTACTAATGACAATATATTATTTCATCAATTTTTGATAATATAGGTGAACCAACCTCACGGATATTCGTGTATGTGTTTTTATTACATATCATGTACACAGCTGGGTTTGTGAGCCCATATACTATTGTTTAGAACGTGTGTGTGTGTATGAATGTGTGTAAATGTGTAATATAATACAACAACTACGAGTATATCAAGTGCAGTTTAATGTGGTCGAGGATCTAGCTTCAGGGCAATAGGTTTTGATATACGGGCGAACTGCCTGCAACGGAAGTTTAATAATGTATAATACAACATCTCTTCAATCAACTAAATAATTTTTGTGCGTTTTTCTTTTTAATTTACTGTCAAATTAATAATACCTGCACCCGTTTCAAACCCGTATACGTTTTTAATGCCTAAAATGCCTACTTTATTCGATTATACCGCACGCTTATTCGACCGATGGTAACGTGAACACATAAAATACGATGAAACGTGGATATTACGCAAATCCGAACAAAATAAACTTATCTCCGATGAACAGAGTGAAGTAGCACCTAATCTGTTGGACAATTTATCTTAACAGTCGGAAATTACAAAGAAGAAAAGAGAAAATGCGTACAGTGTTTCATAAAGGCCCAGAACTTTTTTACACATTGACATATAGCGAAACGTCTCCGACAACTGTTTTTTACATGTTTAAAGTGTATATATTTTTAGATTAAATTCAATGCCATTTACTGAACCGTTAAAACATAATAGTCAATAGATACAAATGTTTTTTCCAATCACATCGTCTTATGGAAAATTGATTTTTTTAAGTAAATGCAAAAGTTACAAAGTTAACTCTCTTCCTCCCTCACGAATATTTTTTCTGGCTACTCTACTGATTTTACGTCATATCCTGAGATTGCGCGCTGCACATTTGTCAATTGAAATTCTTAAAATTAAACAACTAGGAAACGATAATCTATTGTATATATTTCCAATAAACTTACAAATACAAACACAAGAAAATGAATTACTAAAATAATACCAAAAGAATAATATGTCAGCCTATTTATAGAAATATTAACATAAAACAATACCAAAACAATGACTAATTTGGCATAGATAGAAGAAAAATATCAAAACAGTAGATTTGAGATTTAGAATACAATATTTATTGTGTCGTATGTGTATAATATTTTGAATTCAGAATTTTTATCAAACTCATTCTGTATTGAAAAAGCAATCTAGATGGAAATATTAAAATAACAAATCGATTTTTTGCATCACATTTTTAACGTAAAAAACTAATAATCAAAAGACACTTCATAAAATATAATAATATAGGTAGGTAATCTAAAAATCTAATACAAAATAAATCTCATTTTTCATCAATTTTTTTTTATTTTGTCGGAAAAATGTAAAAAATAACCCAAACAATTTTTTAAATTTTCTATCCAAACATTAATATAACATATTTTTTCAATATGTACAAAATATTATTCTTGTATAGAACACTCAATATTTCCCAGTTAGTTTTCCATTTTTTCGTTTTGAAATATTTTTAAGTACATAATACCTACCTTACACAGTTATACATAACATTATCTCTAATCCTGCGCATTATTTTTTTAAATGGAATATTCTACTATATAAGTTGGTTGCATTATCTTGTTTAGTAGTTTCGTATTCTAATGCAAATGTTTTTTTTTCTCTTTTGATAATTTTAATATATTATAAAAATAGATATCACAAATTGAAGCTATATAGTTTATGAACTGTAAACAAAGAAACAATATACTTAGATACCTAACAGTGTATCCCGCGAAATATTAATAATAATATATAAACTATATTATTACCTACTTCACTCATCTAATGTTTCGCCATTCAGAAAATATCACCAAACTTTTGTGCTACCATCCCGAACGCATTATGGTGAGGAAAATAAATCTCACAAATATATATTATATCTTATTAAAGAACGTGCGCGCATGTTCAGCAAGTGATTGAAAACCTTTTCATCGTTTGTTTATACGAAATGATTTTTTTTTTCAACGTCGACCCGGGTCCATTTTTCCCCTCGAATGTTGTTGTGAAACCCTTCGTATTATATACCTATACGTATATAATATTGTGAATGTGGGCCTCAGTATATTATAAAACTGGGGAGAAAAAAAAGAATAGTCGGACGTAAAATATAGTGGTTTTTTTTAAAGGCATTTCAAATATTGAAGAAAATCGTAAAAATAATCACGGCATTTCATAATATGTTTAACCGAACTTTACTCAGAATCGTTTTTCGTAAACAATAATTTTCGGTGCGTGCACATAAATTAAATAACTTTAAATCTATCAGTAATAATAATTTGTATGGTCTATCATGCAAAATATGTAGAAAATCACAAGGAAACTAAAATAAAAAAGCCGCCAAATGGTGATTTTAGATTCTTTTCAAATCCGAATTTTTTAAAAAATACAAAATTGTTGGTTTTATTAGTTTATATTTTTTACATTCTGAGTGAAGCGAGAAATATATTAGTTTTACTATGATGTTAATGATTAAAATTATGATTTTAATTTTTACTATCTGGAAACAACTTTCTCCTAGAAATCTTGCTCTAATCAAAACATGACAAACTATCTTTAATTATTGTTCCATTTTGGCTATATAGTTGGTATTTTAAAAAATCTTTTGAGACAATAAGAAAAAACTAATTCTTTAGGTTAAAAAAGATTAAAAATAAGGTTGTCACTGGCAACTGTTTTTAGTTATTTTTTATTATTTTTAAACTTTTTTAAACAATCATTGTTGTGAAAACCCACATTATTTTAGATTCTAAGCGAAGCGAATGTATTGGTTTTTACAATGATGGATTTTTTTTTTACTTTTTTTTTGTGAACATTCTTTCTATCAAAAGGGTTACTCCGATTATCAAGTATAGCACCTTTTATGAAATAAATGTTCTCTGGGTGGTACTTTAGAAAAGTAATTTTTTGAAATTCTCATTAATATTCGAGATAATGAGGAAAACCTGGTTCTTTAGGTTAAAAAATATTGAAAGATTAAAAACAAGGTTGTCATTGGTAACCGTTTTATCTATTTTTTAAATAAATATATAAATAAAAAATGTACACATAAAAATACGATAAATAAATTAATCAATGCGTCGCCTGGAGTATTATGATAAGTGTATTATACAACCGGTTTCGAATTTAAAATTCATCACCAGGTATATCACAGCCAAAATGTGAAACGCGAATGAGAGTCGCGTTTGAGTCACCTGACGATGAATTTATAATTCGAAACCGGTTGTATAATACACTTATCATAATACTCCAGGCGACGCATTGATTCATTTATTTATTTTATTTTTATATATACATTTTTATTTATATATGTATTTACTATATTTATTTATTTTATTTATTTACAAGTATTAACCATTTTAATAATTTTGTTTTACTTTATTATTTTATCATTTATTTTTTGTTATTATTAAGGTTTTATTATTTTAATATTTTTTAAATAATCATAGTTGTCATAGAAACGCGTTTTGTTGAAAAATCAATACTATAGACCGAGCTATATTAAAATAAAATAAATTTTGATTTTAATACATTCTTTTAACTATTCATATTTATATTATATTTCTTTATTCTATACTTCATCTCTATCAACTGAACACAACTCAGAATCGTTTTTCGTTAGCAACAGTTTATCATTGCTTACAGAAATAAATTATATAGCTTAATGTATCCCACATTCCCAACTAACCTACAACAGTAACCACACTCGTTTTCAATATTAACTCTCATTTTTTTTACTTTTTATTTATTTATTTTAAACTATTACTTTATATTTCATAATTATCTTTATTTTAAATAATTTTTTAAATAAGTATCTTCGATTTTAATAAATATTATTATCAATTTAAAAAACTAATAACAAATGTCGATACATCGATTATTTTGTTGCTTTCTGGATAACCTTAGCTTGTGGGGAAAAAAACACGACTTATATAAAATCTTTATTACGTTTTCAATAGTTTATCGTTGCATACAGTTTATAAACTAAATTACCCTATGTATCCCACCTTCTCAACTGCTCACCTGCAACAGAAGCCTACCCGTGAACTTTTCAATCGTATCAACTTTTTCGAATAATTATACCGACAAAAAAAATGTCCTCCGATCGTGATTATCGTAAATTATTTGTGATTCATTATTCATATTCATTTTACGAAAACATTAAAAGCAAGCGTCCAATGAAAAAAAAAGGTCACATGGAACGGTATGACAATACTCTGCAGTAGGTACTCTGCATCAACCCACCATCATAATTATCCCGATTCGTCAATGACGATATATTATATGAATTTCCATTCAAAATTCAAATATTACGGTAGACGTGTTATAATTTATGAGTAATATAATAATCGACGAGTTCTAGACGCACCCAAGAAAAAATAATATTTTATTTTCAATATTATATTATATTGAAAAATATATTTTACGCACTCAATAATTTTTATAAACCGTCAGATCACGGCGTATCGGGTATGCATTGACCGTAACCGGGTTTCGTCGATTTACGTATTCGTGCGTAAGAATACTAATAATAATACACAATAAATTATTGATTGATGCCATAAATTTCAATCGAATTGATAGATATAGAATGTATATGTGTATATAAATCAGCCAGAGTGTAAAAAGTTACTGCTGACTGACTATAGACGTCAAAAAAGTAGAAATAAAACAATCTGTACAGTTCAGAAGCGCGGAAGTAAAATAAATTGGTTTACGTATTTTTATTGTTTCTGAGACAACGCAATAGCGAAATTTGATTATATACCTAAACATTTTTTTTCACGATATCATATCATAGTATACCGACCATACGAAAAAATTCACCCTCGTATTACAGTTGTAAACCATGAAAAACATAAACTGTTTCAATATTTTTGCGATAGTTAAAAATTATGTATTCTCTTCTTTTTGTATTCTTTCATTTTCCTGATCATCGCCTTTCTTTGAGGTCAATCATTCTATAGTAGTACAGATAGTCGACATCGGCTTTCAAACAACTCTTCCTCTATCGCTCCTTTCACTCTCAATCATACTTCTATCCATATTTATGTTGGGTCCCTCACAATCCTTACAGCCACTTGTTTCTCCACAAAACACGCCCAAAAATAATCTATAAATCCGTTGTCTCTTGTTTTACACTATATTGACACCAGAACTTCTAAACTCCCTCTTAAATTTTAATCGTCTTTTGTCCTTCATTCAGCCTAGCCATTCCACAAATCAAGACAACACACATTTTCCTTTGATTAGAAATTATTGTTTCAATCTACTGCTCGAACAGTAAACCTATTACAAAAAACCATCTAAACGTTATATTATTTAATACAAGAGCAGACATACTTCACACAGTGGGTGTACCTCCTTGGTGTGTCACTGTTTTAGATAGAAAATTGGTAAAAAAGGATATATAAAGTTATTTAATTTTCGTCTGTACGCAATGATAATAAATTACCAATGAAATACAATTCTGAACGAAGTTCGGTTAATCACGTATTGAAATTTCGTTATTTTTTTATGATTTTTATTAAAATTTGAACTTAAAATGCTTATCAAGTTATAACAAAAAATTACTACATTACAGTTAACCTTTTTTTTTTACCTACAAGTGTAAGATTTTGTTTTTGATTTCAAGATTACGTAACGTAAGTAAGTATTATCTTGGAAAGTGTTAACATTTCGAAATTTTTTTTTCAAAACATTTAAGAAACAGACGACTTTTAAATATTACATTGCCATTACAGAATACCGTTATTTTTTGTCTCCCTTATTTTAGAGAATGAAACCGCTATCCACTTATGATTTTTAAATGGCAACTTGTATTAAAAGTTCCAGAAATAAATGACGTTTTAATTTAAACATATTATGACGTTGAAATTTTTAATTTCCGTCAACCCGTTGACGAAATATTCCACTTTTAAGTTCGGGCAGAAAGTATTTATAGTGGAATATAATATTTGTGTGGGGGCGTTTGAATAGTGCTCCACTACTTCCTCCTACCCACAAAACGGCAAACATAAAAGTGAATACCAAAATTATATCGACTTATGGAATTTTTAATCTATAGGTTACTATCTGAAAATCAAAAGTGGGTAGTGGTTTCACCCTCATAAATAATATTGACACAAAATAACGGCAATGAAATATTTTAGATGTACTCGTTTCCTTAATATTCTAAAAAAAAATTCCCAAAAAAATGAATACTTCCCGAGATAATAACGAATGATCTACTGACTTACTACGTTATTTTGCTGATCCTGTTAGTCGCGATAATCGTTCGTCGAAAGCTACTGCAACTGGTGGTATATGCAACTTCGTGGTGTCGTCAGTAAGTACATTGTAAACCGAATGGCCGAGGTTTTTAAAGGTTTTGATAGTTATTTGTATGGCTTAAAAGTCACCCCCGACACATATAATTTTGATTTTATGTTGTTAATTCTTATTCAACCCTTTACTATTGCTAACATTTTTACGATTTTGTAATTTTTGTAGAAGACTACGGTTCTTTATTAGAACCTATCTATATTCTATATATTCTATAAATTAGTCTTTAAAAACTAATTGAATAATAATAATTAGCTACATACATCTATTCACCTAGGAAAGTGTTTAAAATGTTAAGGCCATGATTTTTGATACGACATGTGATACAACCCATATTTTAGGGGTACGTAAAGGCAATTTTCGCGAAATTTTTCAACAAATTTAAATATTTATTTTAATACGAAAATATGCAATAGGAAAAAAAATACATACCAATAAGTACATCGTTTTAAACCAATACATTTGTTTGTTATCTCTATCGATTCGCAATATATTTGAATTTACGGAATTCTTAACAAATATACAAATATAACTTATTGTAAATATTATGCGAAATTGTATGGTGAATTTTGTTCTAAAAACTAATTTTATTTCTTATAGTTTATAGACTCTGAAAAAAAAATGTAACGTTTGAATTTTAGAATTGTTTTTATTCAGAACAATTTTATTTTTAATATTTTATTAAAGGTGAAAGAATTTCGGGTGGCAATTTCGATTGAATTTGATTTTTATTACGCACCCGATTACACATTTACATCTGTATATAATACAATATATCTGTATTGTATTATTATACTATATAGGTACAATTTAATTCATGACGTCTCAAACGCATATTAATCGAATCGATTCAAAAGGATAAACCTTTTCTTTGAGATTATAATATACGCTTTAATGATAGGTACATCAAAAACAACGATCTCAGTTTTTAAAATACGATAGCTGACAACAAAACCTAAACATCTACCATATTATCAGCGTCACGTTCCACTTTCTTCGCTTCGCCCCCGGGGATTCAGTATAATTATATAAGACGAAAATAGTATTTTATTTATATATTGTGCGTACTCGGTACCTATACGTAGGTACGTGTTGCGCTTTTAAATTGGAAAGGGTCTACTAATCGTTTAGTTTTAATTTTCGCCACTGGTTCAAATTAAAACGTAAGAAATATTATGTTCAGTACAGGTACGTATTTTATTGGCCTGGATAAACTTAAATTTCCCGGCCTTGATTCCCACTCCGCCCCTGCCTATAGGCATATTGGAATTTTTTAGATGTGGTTTTAAAAAATCACAGAAATACAACCGACTCAACGTTTAACCGAATATTCCACAGAATAGTTTTTCGTTAGCAATCATTACTCGTTGTGTACTGATATAAATTAAATAACTCTATTATGCAGATAATATGTTTTGCTGTTTATTATTTACCACTTATTTACATTAGTAAAATTACTCCGAAATGGGCTAAACCAATTTTAATACCAATTGTACAAAATGATTTACACGGTAAATAATCTGCTTATACCTACATTCTATAACAGCAACATATATTATATTATTTTATTTGTGTAGTGAACCCAAAAATAACTTATAACTATAACAATGCGAAACGCGACAGAACCGGCCCTGCAGAACCTGCTACGGTGGTGATAGTTACACGGAACCTCATGCTAATATTCATTTACGATCAACCCAAATATACCGAGCGACGATGTGATTAGAAATTGCCTAAACATTTTCCCCTTAATTAATAACCGGCAGCAGGACACGATTGATTCACTATTGAAGCTAACACAAATATCGTTACGGGCATTAAAAAATGTTATTATCACTCATTTAATATCGAATGCATATTACGGATTCGTCTATGATGATGTATCGTGTGTATGAGAGATTGAGGGAGGACAACAGATTTCTATAAAACTGAAAATAATGGTACTTCCCTTGTCACACATACGCAATACAACTTGTATATGCCCATAAGAAAGTGGAAACTATTCGATTTCAAAGGTTTTTTTTTGTCTGGAAAACCATTTTTTAGAGCAGTAAAAATATACTTAAAATATACTAAAAGGATCACCCATCTTTTATAGTTTTTGTTATACTTGCAAAAAAAAAAAAAAATGTATTTATTTGTTAAATACAAAGCAAAATGTTGAATTTATTTACACTGTTGAATTTAATATTACTATATTATAGTATGGTTTTTACGTAGGTCGAAAATTATTTTTAATATTTTTCAATATTTTGTCAAAAATACATTTTATGTATACATATTTGTTATGTGTTGACAAAACCGTTATTATCAACTTATGTCTTATAATTTTTAATCTTATATTATTCCCGGTTTTTATTAATAGGTAGACAATTTAATTCGTATTTACCTAAATTGCCCTTTTTCCATTATAAAGCTCAAATCATACTAAACCATCCATCATCAACTTAATCCATGTCTAAATGGCCAAATACAAATACCCTCAACAGACAAATGTGTTACTAATTCGTTACTATTTATTATTTAAATGTTAAACCAATTGCTTATTTACTTTACTGTTATGTAATTTGATTAAAGTAGGTATAAACGTACACATATAGTATCAAATAATAATGAATATAATTAATATTGTTTTTCAATTTTATGGTAAACGTATTTACCTGCAGTATTAAAACTAAATTAATTTGTTTGTTGCCGTCCAATTTCAATAATTCATGGTGAATATTTATGTTTTTTATTAATTATATTGCATAATTTTACTATACAGAATGTCCACCGTATTCGAGAGATTTTTATATCTATGTTAATATTCAATTATTATTAATTTTTTTTTTTTTTACTATAAAATTTTATTTCGTAAGGATATAATATTTTTGAGAACATTCCTTAATCACTAGAAAAAAAAACTTTTTATTTGTTCAATTTTGAATCTCTCAAAATTAGCCAATTTATAATAAATATATATTTTTTTCGTATCACACAACCACAATAGTCGTGGAGTAATATATAAATACAACGTAAGTCGTCTGAAGTATAAAATTTAAAATTTAAGTCTATAAACAGAATAAATAATGATGTAAAATTGATTAATTAATTAAATAACAGAGTAAATTAGATAAATATTATTCTAAATATTTTAATCTAACATACACAAATATCTTCAATGTGGCTTAGCCCGAGCTTTTTTTACCTCTTCCACTTAGATTTAAGTACTGTCTACTATATCTCCAACCACTCTAATTTAACTTAGTCCTAAGATCAGTATGTACTTAATTATCAGCTTTTACAACCTACATAAATAAATAACCGATAGTTTCTAGTAATAGCCATATTAATTTCTAAAGAAGAGGCAGTTGTGTATTAAGGGGACAATAGGGGACATTTGCTCAGAGGCGCTATGTTTAATATAAAACTCGAAATAAAATTAACAATATTATGAATTATGATAATTTTCTATAGTATCTACATTCGTACATTGACTTGCGATTTGCACCTAAATTTCTACATTATACTAATAATTAATACTATATTAATTATTATCATATACTTTTTATTTATTTTACAAATCATAGCACATTTCTTTTAAGTTATATACAATATAATGATTGGTGGAAAATCCATTAATCAGGCCCTGATTTCGGGGTACCTAGTTATTGTCTTTCTAACCAAAATTGTATGATTTCTCTAAACAGTGTGCCTCACAAAGATATGATTATTATAATACCTTGGAAAGTATTAACTTTTTATGTGATGGGTACATGGAGAATAATGTAATATCATTTGTTTGACGTCACACAGCACAACACATGACGTTTGAATGGTGCTCTTCCCCCTACCCAAACTTAAAGGCGAAACATCTCGCCAACGGATTGAAGAAAATCAAAAATATCAACATCAAAATATATTTATTTTAACTAATACTTCGTATTTTATGGAATTTGTATATGGTATGACTCCATTTGAAAATCTAATGAAGATAGTCGGTTTACTTTTAAAAATAAGGGTGACAAAAATAATGTTAGTGTAACATTTTAAAACTACTCGTTTCTTAAATTACAACAGAAAAACCTCACATAAGTTAATATTTTCCAAGATATCGCAATGATTGTTTCTTTGTAGGACACCCGGTATATCGTATAAAATTTGCATAATATTACTTAATTAAAAGATAGGTTTTTTACGTACAGATATATCTTCAAAAACTTTGAAACATGATATACCTAATATAGTGTTATATCTAGTTGATATTTGAAATATAATTAAATACCTAGTTATTATAAAATTTTATTGAAAATCAAAGTAGATACAAGATTTAATAACAAAACCCATAATATTACTTGGTTAATGGTTATACAGCTTTAAGGCTTTTATAGTACAATAAAATATCGTATGTGTTTCTTATTATTTGTTTAGCAATACTATACAAAATAAAAACTAGTATAAATCGTGAAAATCCACGAGGACAAGTACGGACTACTTGATCCCGGACGGATCCATTCAGAATTATAATGTGTACATTACGTACAAATATATACGTTTTTAAACTATACAAAAACCTAACAAGAAATAATCCTTATTTGTTATTCCCGTATATCATGTCCTTACTTCCGCTGCAGTGTCATAAATAACAGTGCTTGTTTCAAAATATTTTACAACGATTACCTATTACACTATATTTGTAATTTATACATATATATATTTGTATTTTTATTGTGGTTGGGACGAGAAACATTTTTTCTCGTCTTATATTTATTTCCTAATTACCTACGCTACAAGGCACTTATTCCATTATCTTTTTCATTGGTGATACTTTCACGATATTGCAGATAATTGTAGGGTGAACAGTGATGACATAATGAATAATGAGGTAAAAATCACGTTAAAATTAAATATTTTTTAACGCACGTAAAATTCAAATTCAATTTTTTTTTTTTTAGAACACTTCGCCCATAAATAATTACCTATCTTTTGGCACAAATACAAAACTAGCCTTGAATAAACTGACAAGTCTCACGCGATTTAACAATAAAAACGTATAATTTGAAGAATGACACTGCATGGAAAATACAGCAACGCCTTAAACATTATTAGTTTTTAAAAAGAATTATAAAATATTATTGTCTTTCACTTTTTTTTTTTTTTTTTGTGCTTGATACACATTTTAGCTAATGAATAAACAGGTGTTGAATGGAATAATAAATAAAAAGGTACGATTGAACAAGAAGCAAACATAAGTTATAAAATATAGGTATATATATTTTTTTAAACGTATGATATCATGAAGAAAGTAAAAAGTACGTTGTTACCTCAATATAACAATAATAATATGTAAATAAGTACCTACTTTTATTTAATTGATAAATTCTTTATATGTTCAAAGGTATCAGTTAAGAAGTGCGGTACCATTTCCAAAAAAACTTGTTGATTTATTTCTGCAACAAACATAAACCTTTCTACGTAGAATTGAGCTACATAATATTCGTTTGGTATTTCAAGTTTTTCAATCGATCTGTTAAACATAATATAAGTCATTATTTGTATTTATTATATTATAACTTATAACTTATAAGTAGGTATGGAAGACAACAATTATTCGTAGATTTTGGGATGCCTCTAGTATACACAATTTGTGTTTTAGGATAAGTGATAACAGAGTAATGGCATTATTAGGTTGGAAGAATGAAAATACTGGTTTAAACCAAGCATGGAAAACGTTTTTAATTTTTTCGTTTTCGTTTTTGTTTATGAATACATGGGTAAAAAAAAAATATTTTCATTTTTAAATTTATTTTTTCTCCGAAGTTTAACATAAAAATATGAAAATAAAGGATAAATATTTAAAATATAATAATATAATGTTTGAAATTTATAATTTTATAATACAATTTAGAAATATCAATAATAATTTCTTAATGTTTATATAATATACCTAATACATTTCGTAAACATTAACAATTTGTTTCATTTATAAGTTATAATAATTATAACATAAACAAGCTACATAGGAATCAAAGTAAATTATCAATTCATCTAGATAGGAACAACATGCTAGTTTATATCACATAAGCTTGGGTAGCTAAAACTAGAGCACTATGACTATAAATCGCCGAAACTAATAAATAATAACCACAGTTTTATTGATTATCAACAATTATCACACATCAGTTATCTTATCAGAATTGGGTAGAGGGCAAATAAGTGATCCCGATGATTTCCACTTTTTCGATAGTAGAATTATTATTACCCATACTCTTATTGATTTATGTTATTGCCATAGAGTAATATAACTTTATTATTTTTCAATTATGTGTATAATGGTATACTTAATTTATTTCAGTTTTCGTTTTATTTTTCGTTTTCGTTATTGAATTTTAGACTGTGAGTGGAGTAAAAAAAATTATGGTTTTACAAAGAAGTTTTTTTTTTCTGTCCACAACTTTTTTACCAGCAATTTTTCTCCAATTTATTATGATAGCCATTTTTCTAAAAAGAAATCCAACAGGAAAGGTACTTTATAGAGATCATTTTTATATTTTTCAGTAGTTTTCCCAACAAATGTGAAAAACCAAGAAAAAACATGGGAAAACCGTGAAAAACGGGAAAATCAGTACAGTAAACAAATATTGTTAAAAAATACTTATTACTTATTACTTATTACTTAAATAATACTTATTTAACTATTTTACTATAATATGGTATTTTTTTGACAAAGCATCACTATCAACTGAACTTCACTCTGAATCGTTTTTTTCGTAAGCAATGGTTTATCATTGCTTACAGGTATACATTAAATTACCTATAACAGCGGCTGCACCCACCCTATTATCCGAGGATGTCTTTTTTTTTTTGTTTAATAATGTTTTTAAAAAACGTTTTCCATCCCTGGTTCTATCACTTAAATCATAAATGTTTTTTAAAATGTCACTCCTCTATTTTAAAATATTATTGTATATTATTAATTCTCAAATCGACACCTTTGATATTAATTTTTAACTTTAAAAAAAAATAAAAATTTCAAATACCTATCAAATAACTATATATAGTTAAATAATCACCAGAATGTTTTTAAAAATTGGCTACACCTAGAGTTAGTGGGTATTAAGTAAAATATCAGGTCTTTAACGGCTATTTTTAACTAAATTACAACAAAATAAAAAAACAAAATTGAAAACTATAACAATAATAACAACTATTTTCTTAAATTTCTCATTCTTTCTAAATTTTTTTCTATTTTGCTTATTTATTAAAAAACTACAAGAAAAATCAAAGAATCATTAACTTACTCTACATCTAGATTAAAAATTCAACAAAAAAGGTATCTGGTTGTTTTCCTATTGAAGCAATATTTCTGGTAAAAATTTAGAAAAATGAAATCAGTAAAGTCTTAGTGCGCTGTAAATATTTTTTGTTTTACCTTTAATTTTGTTTTGTTTTTCTCAATTATTTTAAAAACTCCTTGGAAAATCAAAAAAAAAACCTCTCTAAGGCACCAACTAGACAAAATTTCCTTTCAGAAAAGATACTACAACTAATACATTGGCGCAAGATTTCTTATCGAAAAACTATTTATAGACAGAAAAAAGAAAATACAAAAACACATATAACAGTAAAACTAATAGATCCCTCGCTACTCCTATAGATCGCCAAATTTAAAATAAATAACTTGTTTTTACTTAAATTAATAAAACAATAAATCAATGAATAATCTTGAATATTTTTCATTGAGCATACTTAAGAATATTAACTATAAAGAAGTCTTACTCTGGTCTTACCACTTTAAAAAAATATATATATCCTAGCTAGTAATAATTCGTAATATAGTAGTTCAAAGAAATATTTAAATCTTATTAATGGATTCAAAATGATTAATAATAAAAACTAAAATATTTAAAAATGATTAATAGAAAAACTTAGGAATTCTTAAATGATTTCTAGTTGATTGTTACATTTTTCCCTTAATGGTAATATTATATTATTCTCAAAATTTGTAAATTAAATAATATCTGAGAAATACATACTTGCAACAGTGGTTTATAATGCATTTGAGGTATTGAGCTAAATATTCAAAATATTGTGTAGTAATATCAGGATGAAATTGTTTTAAGAATGTTTGACAACCAATATATAATGGTGCACCATCAACTGGATCTCCAATCTTTTTCCACATCAATAGTGCTTTAATAAAATAAAATAAAGCTAATTTACAATATTACTTGTAATCAGGGTTTGCTGATAATTATTAAATGGTAATTTATTATCATTGATAATTAGTTAATCCTTAATATCCAAGATAATATAAAAAACAAATCCGATAACATTATTTTTAAAAATACGAAATTATTAATTTATAACAAAAATTAAAATTTTTTTTAAAATTCAATTAAAACTATATTGCTATTTATTTATGTGTTAATTTTTTCTAACTATAAACACAGCTTTTTGATTCCATACATAGTATTACTTACATACTTTTAACATCTTATATATTTTCATTTTTTGCTTTTAATTAATTAATAATTAGATATCGATAATTATCAACATTTATTTATCATTTTAATAATTATCAATCTCTATTTGTAATAAAATCTTACCTAAATTTTTGTCAAAATGAAGTCTTGAGAATTGACATATAGTTAATAAAAATGTAATTAAAGATATGTACTGTGTAGTATTTGTGGTAATATATATTTTTGAATATGGATTTCCATTGCCTGCCCAATCTAACATTTTACTTAATTCTGGTAATAATGGATTGTCACTACTTGGATATGGTTTATGATCTGTATCTCTAAAATGTGCTTTTATTTCATTTAACACAGCTCTAGAACCAAATAATTGTGTCAT